TTTTTTTTTTTTTTTTTGGTACCGGGGATTGAACTCGGGTCCTTGTGCTTGCAAGGCAGGCCACCAAACCACTGAGCTAAATCCCCAGCAACAGAAAACCTCTTTTTAAAAATAAACTTTATTCAGGTAAAGCTTAAATGCAAGAAAAAGCTATTTTAAGCATGTATTGTGGTGTGGTGACTGTCAACCATGTCGCACAGTGCGAAGTATGAGGCGTTCCCACCATCGTGAAGATCGTGCAGTGTCGGGCAGCATGGGTACTAGACGTGGGCACCCCACGAGCAAGTCCTCTGTGCTCTTTCTCAGGAAATCCACCACCCCTACCCCGACCTCTGGAAATCGTGGCTGAGTCATCACTACGAAGTAGGTTTGCATCGTCTAGAGTGTAGTACATCTGTGCTCTCTTTGCCAGCGCGAGCTCAGGTCTCTGCTCCTCAACAGCACCCCCCTGGGTGGATGGGTGCCCCAAAGTTAGGGATTTGCACTCTTTCCATTTTAGTACGAGTACGAATAAAGTAGTTAGGTTTTTATGTAGATGTATGTTTTCATTTTTTCTTGAGTAAATATCTATACTTGGAATTGGTACATTACATCCAAAGTATACAGATTATTAGGCTATTTCTGAAATGCTTGCATCATTGTACACTTCCAGTAGCTACGTAGGAGACTTCTATTCTTGCCAACTATTGCTTATTTGTAAAAATGTTCTTGTTTTAGTAATTACTGGGGAGAATCTGTCAAAGTCTCCACCTGTCATTACAGATTTGGCATTTTTCCTTTCAGTTATATTCATTTTTGATCCATGCCTTTTTAACTTGTGTACATGTACGCTTAGGAATGTTTTGTATTGGTTGTGAGTTGGCGCGGTAATTGTGCAGTGTACCTGTTTGCCCCATTCTAAATTCTATGTTATTAATATGACTACCTCAGCTTTTTTGGGAGGGGAATTTGAGACAGGCTTTCACCATGTAGTTCAGGCTGGATTTGAACTATGTAGCCCAAGCTGGCCCCAAATTCATGGTGATCCTTCTGCCTTAGTCTCCTGAGTGCTGGTAGTACAGGCGCGCGCCACCATGCCTGGCTCGCTTCAGCTTTTTTAATAATTAGAATGTTCATTCTCTATGTATTTCTAGCCCTTTGCTTTAAACTTATATGAATTTTCATTTAATTGGGTAACTTTTAAATAACATATACTTTGCCTTCCAGTCTGAGAATATCTGACTTTCAATGGCAGTAACTAGATCATTTACTTTAAAAAGTGATGACGAAAACAATTATACACATTTGAAGCCTACAACTTGAGTTTGCACACTCAGTATCCATAAATCCATCACAACCATCTGAATAGTGTATTTCCATTCATGTACATCTTTGGCTACTTTTTGGCTTTTGCTACCGAGCTATAATAAATATTCTTATACGTCTTTATATGAATGTATGCTTTTATTTCTCTTGGGTAAATACCTAGAAGGTAGGTCATGTAATAGGTATAGGTTAAGTTTTTTAATTGCCAATCTGTTTTCCAAAGCATTTGTGTCATTTTCATATTCTTGGTGTATGAGAGCTATGATTTACTTCCTTTCTTTCGCCAGCGGTAGGACTTGTCGTTTTAGTAGGTCTATTTGGGGTGGGTTGTATTTCACTTGCTTCTCATCTATTTATATGTCTTCTTCTGTGACATTTCTACTCAAAATTTTTGCCTTGTTAAAAAAATGTAGTTCTTTATCTTTTTATCCTGGTAGTATAGTATACGTTTTTGCATTGATCTGTTGCTTAAATCTTGTTTCCGTAATGGTCTCCTTAGACCATTAACATTTTAAAAATTTGATGTTCAATTTATCAATTTATGAATCATGTTTTATGCTCTCTTTATTGAACTTTATGATCATATTTTCTTTTAGTTTTAGTTTTGTTTTACATTTAGAGCTATTTGAATTAATTTATTTGTATTAGATGTAATGTACTCATTTTTTTTCCATAGAGATTAATTGCTCTAGCACCATTTTTTTCCCCACAGTCCATTTCCCCACTGAAGTGCACTGAGATTTTTGTCAAAAATCATTTAATGCTGGGCCAAGGATTTAGCTCAGTGGTGCCACTGCATGCATTCCAAGTGGCAAGGTCCTGAGTTTGATCCCTGGTACCCCCCCCAAATCATTTAATTCTTATATGTGCAGGAAAATCATACAAGGTATATTCAGATACTTTATCTGTAAATCTCAGTGGGATTCTTGAAATGGGCCAAATATTAAAAGCAATAATTTACATAATTATGAATTTTTTCTTCAAGAGTTTGCTTTCAATTACCTTTTTAATGTCTATTTCAGAATGAATAGAGCAGTTCCTTTTGATTGTATAATTACATGAATGGTAAAACCAATGTAACACAACCAGAAATCATCCTACCCATTACTAAATATATGGAATTTCTGACGAAGTGAAGTCTTGTTCCAGACACTTTAATTTGGTAATATCCACAAGTTATAGAATTTACTGAACTCTCTCTCTCTCACACACACACACACAAACACACCCAATGAAATATTCAGATCTATAGCACTGATAAAATTATCACAATTTAACTTTCTATATTGAGGCCAAAATATAATTATATGATCAAGACAGAAATATGGAAAAGAAGAGCCAGTGACTATAAAAAGAGATCTAAAAATTTAATGACTTAAAAATAGCCTCTACATACAAGATGGCAAATAACATAATAGAAATTGAACATTCTGCCTTTGAAGATGTGAAATATCACCACATAGCTTAGAATAAGTCTGTTATCTCCTAAGAAATATACATTATACAATGAAACCTACAAGGGCAGACTTTTAACATCTTCAAGTGTTATTGGTGTTCAGCAACTCCTTTCCTCCACACAGACATCTATTTGTCATATAACAATATACTTTTGAATCTTCTTGTAGTAGTGTAGAACCTTGAGAATGATAATAGCAGTTGATTTGAAAAGCACCTTCTATAATTGCCACCTATTTCTTAAAATCACCCAGAGGACATGCATTTTTCTTACATCCTTTCCTGGTCCAATGATTTGGTTGTTTAAAATCAGTAATTTGGCCAAGAAATATACTGCAAATAAAAACACGTTTCCAAAAAGCCTAGAATGCTGTGGTCTGAAAGGCTATAGAAAATGTGGCTTCTTGGAAATACCTGAACACATTTACCCACTAGGTGGGAAGGGATTTCATCTGCTCATGATGAATCTGATGGCTGTGCTGAGTGTCTACACCCAGCAGCTGAGACTGGACAAATGCTGGGACTAGCTGTGAGGTGGCGGCGGGTCTGAACCACAAGGACACTAGCCACATGGAGTTGTGAAGATCAGAAGGACCCTCCACAGCCGCCCTGAGAATCAAGTGTCCATATATGGGTTTTGAGGAGGGTGTAAGATGAAGCCAAGTGACCAGGATACAGCCAGGTGGCTCTGAAGGTCAGTGACCAAGGACCTGGCCAGCTTTCCTCAGGTAATGGGACAGAAGTACATTAAATGAAAGTGAAGAGTCAGAAAGGCCTCTACTTACCACTGGCAGACAGAACCATTCCTTGTTTTTTGTGGAAATCACACTCTGATGTGTCATTGTGAATTCCCACTCCAAATAGTTTTTATTTTCACAACTCTGAAAATATCTTTTGGAAAACGTGATGGCTGAACCACTCACAAATGCGTAAGATTACACAGCCCTAGGGAAACAATTATTACCCTTTACTGGGTCTACCTCTCTGTGTTGAAATAGCCAATCCCAACTGTAGACATGGTCTCTCGATACAGTACATATATATGTGTCTCCTGTTGGCTGCACCTCAACTATTTGGGCCTCAGTTAACGTATTCTCTGAAATTTGCCCTCCAAGAGAGCTTTTCAACCAGAAGTGGGAGGTTTGCCATGATGTGTTCTAGGCAGCAATTTTGAAAAAGGTTTAAAAAGAATAAGGTACAGTGCTGCACTGTGTGGGAGGTGAACACTTGTAAATATACTGTATTTCCCAGACTTGTGTGTGCTGTGCTCAGTATTCACTACTACAGCTAGAGCAATATTACAGCCAGTTGGAACATTTCCTAAACAGTAACAATTTTTTTAAAAACTCCAAAATGCAGCATTAGGGGGTGCTTAACTAAGGTGCTTCTTAATTCATGTTTCTTAAATGGAATGTATCAGACAAACATTTACAAAATCCCATGAATACACAGTCATTCACACACATGGAGAAGTTTCTGTACAGCTTATGTCTTAGATACTTATATGTATACTTAAGAACCACACAGGGAAAAAGAAAAAGATTCCCCTCTCTAGCTCCCTGAATTTCTGAAAGTTGTCTACCTCATAAAATGTTAAAATATTTCACTTTCATATAAAATATCTACAAAAATAGATAATATTTACAAAAACCAGATCGTTTTTCCAGTTTTCCTAAGAAACCATTCATGCTGTCCCCTTTTCCGCCTCGTCTATTCAGAACGTTGCCATCTCTAACAAAGAGCGCTTGAAGAGCTGAGCATGCCTGGACAGGTCTGTCACCTGGTGGACCATCTCCTGCAGGGCGGTGGTGCTGGGGTAATGCAGGGCGGCCATCTTGGTTGCCATAACTATAGTCTTGAGCTGTTCACAGAGCTGGTTGCTGGAGTTCATGACTTTGTTTCGAATGTCTTGTGCAGCCACCTGCCTTGTCAGTGTGTCTCCGATGAATACCAGTTTGTGTGCGCTGAGGATGACGAACTTGCTGTGGGCCACAAAGATCCGAGGAGGCTGGGCTGAGCTGACACAGCTGAAGAGTGCGTCGATGGCATTGAGGAGGGATATGAAATGGGTCTCACATTGGTCATAGTAGAAGCAGAGCAACTGCCTGTCCTGGGCACCCACGCTGCTGTTTGTGGCTGGGAGGTTCTGAGAGGGCTTCCACTTGGAGATATCATTCTCCACAGGCTTTGTAATTTCTTGTTCTAACAGCTGGAACTGACTCAGCTGAAAGGAAGACAAAAGTAGATTTAATGAAGGGTGAGACAGTGTGCTGTAATTCAAACGAACCTGGGCATGGAGTCAAAGACACTGGGTTTAATCCCTTATATGTGTCAGATGCTTACTGGCTACCGGGCCTTGGTCAAGCCACCTTGCTTCCTAAACTGTACAATGCAGATGTTGGGAAAGATGATTCCTCAGGAATCCCTGAATACAGACCTTCTGTAATTATACCTCTGGTCTCTTCTGCTTTCTGGCTGGAAGTATAGGGTTTATACTTCAGCCTTGTCATCTAGACCTTTCTGAAGGGTAAATGAGTTAATATTTACAAAGTTCTCAGAACAGTGTCTTGTATATGGTTGGCTCTGTGTAAATGTTTATTGTCAGGAGCCATTCTACATAATTTTTGGGAAAAATCATTTCACAATTAAATTATGATTAGGTCTAGTATTCTTGCCTATAGGCTGATTTTAACATGCTGAAACATAACTCCATTTTCGCTTCCAGCCACAGCTGAGACCTCAATGGTCCTGTAATGCTAGGACACTCAAAGGCACATCAGTTGAAGACATCCTGGTTCCTTGAGAACCTAGTAGTAAAAGGTTTCACCTGGGGAGGGACCAATTCCTTATCAGTTTAACTCATCCCATCTACTGTTGTAAGAATGTCTTTGCTCATTTTAGGGTTCTAATCAACATAAGCTTCTCAATGACCTAAAATCCTTATCAGCATAAGATCCTCATGGTCATTAGATTACCACCACCCTCTGAGACATCTGATACTTCCTCGATTATAAGATCCTTGTCAATTTAGGATTATTACTGCCCTCTGAGCCATCTGTTATTCCCTATGAATCTGAATAAAACAGTGGCAAGCTAGGGGTGCTTTGTCTTTGCTGCCCAGAGCAGTATGGATCAGGCCCAGAACCCAGCCTCCTAAGTCTTGTTTCCTGTCTTTAATTCACTTTGTGCTGTTGTGGCTCACAGGAGACCAGGACTCACTGGAGTGGTGTGCTGGTAACATCCCCTTTCCCAGTCCCTACAGTTTATTAAACGTTTAACAGTACCAAGGGAAGCCAAATGTAATCTTTTAGTGAAATAAATCAACAGTTTGCTTCATGTTAGAGAAAGCCATGACTCTCCAAAATGCTTCGATGAAATGACAATTCATGATATATTCCTGTTTCTCCTACTCTGCCAAGATGTGTAGATATGTTATTACCCAGCACTATAGGGAGGCTAATACATATAGATATATTTGTTCTTAGAAAAGATTGCAGCTAAAGAAATCTGAATGCAAATTGTACATCATAATGATTAACCTCTCTCCCTAGCTTTAAAAGAAAGGACCCATACAGAGTCGTGTGTGTTAGCTTTCTTGCCTCTCTCTTCACTGTTCCTAAGTGGAATATTATTTAAACTGCAATTATAATAATTTGTAGTTATTCCACCAAGACTCAGGAGAGACCTCTCTTTTGTAGGTCAGGATTATCTGTGATTTGCTCTTAGGACTCAGTTAATCTCTTAGCCTGATGCAGAGCTGAGTCTGAACAGGAAGAGCCTCACCTTGGCTTTTCCTGAGAGAAATGCATAGCCAGCCTGACTTTTCTATGAAATCTGCTTACTTCTTAGGAATAACTATGGTTTCAGCAAGTTCCCTAAAACCTTACTGTCCTACCTGACCAAATGCCCATGCAAACACAAACAGCTCCAGGGTGATGTTCTAAGGTATTTCATCATAATGAATTGTTTCATGTAGCTTATGCTTTTGTGAATATGTGCCTCAGTGTATTGTCATCAGATGGGAGACACTTTCCATTTTCTAGAGAAATAACTGAAGTTCAAAGAGGTTACATGACTTGCCTAAGGTGACATAATCAGTTAGTCAGAAGGCAAGGATTAAAGTTCAGGTTTCCAGAGACAGAAGACCATTTCATGTTGCACGCCATTCCATTTCATTTCATCTTAAAAGGCTTGTAAATCTTCAATCCTTTTTCCTGTATTTTTATGCCCCTATCCTAGCAATATTCCTCATTATCTGCCCTGCTTATACTCAACTTTTGAATGAACATGTCCTGCCCAAAGTCCCTGGTAAATGTTATATTTTAAAGACACAATTTCCTACCCTCCCTTCCCTTAAACTGAACCACACATGGCAAGACACAGGCTTGTGTTGCTGGCAAGGGACAAGAAGACGTGTGTGTGTGTGTGTGTGTGTGTGTGTGAGAGAGAGAGAGAGAGAGAGAGAGAGAGAGAGAGAGAGGGAGAGAGAGAGAGAGAGAGAGGCAGAGACAGAGAATCTAAGGAACCTCAGGGAGTGGTCTTCAGCTGAGGACTCTGAGGTAAAATGCCATCATAGGAAGGCCTTGAGTGGCCTTTCATGGATTCTGTAAAGTTAAAGGGGAGCCAGATAAGTGGGTTGGTGAGGAAATATAAAAAATATGGGGAATGAAGCAGATATAAATGGGGAACAAGAGTAAGAGATGAGGGTGGGGGAGAAGCAAAGGAAGCATAAGAAAAGGGAATACGAGTCCTATTTTTCCAAAGTAGGCTATAGTTTCATTTTTTGTTCTTGAATTCCTTTACTATGGCCTCAATATGAAACTCCTTTGCTTGGGTGAGCTTCAGTAGTTCTTGTGTCTTGAGATGAAAAGCTTTAACCCAAATAGTCCTAATATGTATTAACAGGCATAGCCTGAAGAAAAATGTCATTTGGATATAATCCAGGTACATCCAGCTGGATTAGCAAGGCCATAAACCTTCTCTTTGTTCTTACACCCTATTATATGCCTTGGAGCTTATTTATTCCAGTGTGTTGGCAGGATCCAAGTCATAGTCTTTTGAAGTTACACTTTCCCTACTAAGTTGGAAACCTTTGTACCACCAGAGTTTTTATTCTAATTGAGCTTACCTGGTGATGTTCCAGCTGCATCTTGCTCTGTTTGATGATATTCTCTTTTTCCAACAGCTCCTTCTGTTGCCTCTCAAACTCCTCTTTACCCTATTATTTTTCAACATAAAGAACACATTACATCATCCCCGTGAGACACCTGTGCCAACAATTTCATTGACAGATGCATACATACTCTTTCATTGTCCCCAGCCATGGTCACTTCCTGCATGCCCAATTAGACCCTGTGAATCCCACAAGGATGACAGGCTTCTCAGCCAGACGTCCAATGTCCCTGGAGAAGCCAAGGCTAAAAACCAAAGCTCTTTCCATGTGGGTTCTGTGTTCTCTGTTCCACCTTGCCATTTTCAGAGAGCGTCCTATGAGTCCTTAAGAAGTACTTTTCATGGTTCTTTGGTCCTAAAGTATTTGTTAACCCATAAACTTCCAAGTATTTGTCCAACTGTGGTCTGCATTTCTAGTTTCTCTGAATCACCTCTGTTTCTCTACTGCAAATGAGTACTTCCCAGTGTTAGGCTGGGCGAATTTGCCATGCCTCAGCACCAGGTGTGGCTGAGCTGACCCTGCTCTACTTTCTCACACTCAGGGGCATTAGTAGTTTAACAGTTTTCGATGTAATTAATGCATGGCTCTCAGCCAAATTAAAAAAAAAAACCAGTCCAAATTCTAAATAATGAATCTTGGTAGAGTGTTTTAAAACTTCAAAGTGGAAGGGCAAGCTGTCAAGAGTCCTAGGTCACTTGGAACTTGGTGGAAATTCCACATGTAGAAGGCAGATTGTGCTAACACAATTGCCTGGATGCAAGTTAAACTCTAAGCCAACTGGAAAAGTGAGCCTGAGATGGGACGAAGTTTCTCTGTAAGTAATTAGACACACACAATAGACCTTGAGGGGACCTTAGAAATTCTCCAGGTATAGTAGTTTTCAATTGTTTTTCATAACAATGAAAACTTTCAAATAAACTACCACACAGAACTGTATCATAAAAGGCAAATAGAAATGGAGTTGATATGGTCAGAGGACCTGCTATCCTACTTGGAGAGTCTCTTCCTTTCTTGGAGGCGTATCAGTGGAATCTAATCCAACCTAGTAGCTCATTCATTTTGTCAATGAAAATTAAGGCCTGGGGAAGTTAATACACTGGCCACACAATTACTGTGCGAGCATGGCCTTAAGCCAAGGTCACAAGACTCTCAGTTCAGTGTTCAGTATCATCTCCAACTTCCAAATTCTTGGATTTGGATTGACACTAGTCATGCTTCGCCAGCCTAACAGCCCTCCGGGCTCCTTGCGTGTGAGTGTAGAAGTGTATGAGTCTGGTTTCTTTACCTGGAGATGGACATAATCATAGTCATCCATCCAGCTCCTCTCAGAGCCATCGCTGCTGCTACAGTCAGGTGGCTGCTCCTTGACCAGGGTGGGGGGCATTGGCTTACTGTGGGCCTGAGCCTTGCAGTCACCAGGATGCAGCAGCTGCGTCTGGGAGCCAGCATGTGGGTACTCGGTGGAGTTCATGATGCTCTCGGGCCCGTTCTTCAGATGCAGACTGCCGGGGCCCAGTGTGAAGAGGGTCTCTGCATTGGTGTTGATGGTGGTGGTCAGCTGCTTGGCGTCGTCAGGTACCGTCTTGGCCACCATCACAAACCGGTCCAGATCGTCACATTTGTTCTGGGGTTTGTTGATGGCCAGGATATTCAGAGACCAGCTGCATTCATTTAAGTCATGGCTGGTTTGGCTCAGGATCTGGTGGGAGTCTTCCACTCTTTGGAGCTCCCTCTTCATTTTGTTGTGCAGCACAAGTTCTGGGAGGCAGGAGGCATTGGCTACAGCTCCCTTGGCGAAGTGGAGGTACTCCCGCAGTAGCAGCTCTACCCTGTCCACGGCCGCGCGGATCTCGTTGATGTGCCTTTCCATGTAGCCGTAGGACCGCCAGTCCGTGGTCACCAGTGCCATCAGGCTGCACACGCCCATCTCCAGGGCCTGCTGGAGCCTCTGGAGTCTCTCGATGGCAGAATCTGGATCCAGGAAGAGCCTTTTGTCCTGGGCTGGGGAGGCTGACAATGAGGACTCCTTGGAGGAGGTGGATGACGTGGACATGTTACTCCTGGTGCTCCCTGTACTGGAGAAAGACAGCCGGTTGATGCCATCAACCACGTCCCGAGGGCCTTTTGTGTCTGGGGCGTTGTGCAGAGGGACATCGTAAATGCCATCCCTCTCTTCAGGGTTTGCTTTCTCACTGGCTTCTGCTGCTGGCTCCAGAAACTGAACTCCTCGGGGAACATCGTAGGCATCGTTCTGCGGGCCCCCTGGTTGTGCCGGTGGTGGGTAAGGGTGGTGCAGGGAAAGGCTCTGGTGCCTTCGTGCCACTGGTTCAGCCGCACCCAGCCCATCACAGCTGTACTTCGTGTGCAGGTCCTTGCCCCCCAGCTTGGCACTGCTGGGGGGGATGTCATAAACCCCCTCCGGTCTGATGTCGGCCCTTCCGACTTGTTTCATGGGAGGAGGGAAATCATATTCCTTTTCCCTAAGCCCTGCTTCATCTCGGCAAGCAGAAGGTGGGATGGCATAGACCTGAAAAATAAAAAGCAAAAGACTTATTTGTGGAGTTGGCTCTCGGGAACCCACCGAATGTAGCCCGGGATCCTCGCCCATTTTCGGCTTCTCTTCTTGTTCCTCCCTCCAACAGGAGGTAGTTCCCAGGGTGCTGCAGGGCGTCCCTCCCTATCCAGGACAGGGCAGTCAGTGTGGTTTCAGGCTGATGCGGGTGGGGAGCCCTCCTGGCTGAGCTGCTTGTCCTTGGGTCCCAGTTCTAGGTCCCTAACCACCTCCTCCTGGGTGTCCTTCCCAAGAGGGAGATGATGCATTAACACACTCGGGCAAGGGTCAGGACGCCTGAGGTCTCTCCCGGACTCCCTGGTCATCACGCCAACCATGTGAAACCAAATGAGTCCCGTAAGTGTTGAGACACGGTCCCCTTATCTGTGAAAGGTGATTCCTTTACTTTTGGTGGTTACTCCAAAAGGAAATGGAGTGAATCAAATGAGCTAACTCTTAACATGTGGACCGAGTAAGTCTAAAACCCTACATAAAGATAAGCAGTAGAACGTGCCAGACTGAGCCAATTATCTTCTCTTCCAATTGGCTCTCCTTCTTGACTTCCCTACTTTTATAAGAGGAGCCTCTAAAATTGGACTCCCTAAAATTTTTCCTTTCCCCTCCTCCCTTCCTTCCTTCACTAAGACTAGTTTTCCCCCTTTGGGTTTGCTCTTCGTTTTATTCCAAATGAACGCCCTACACACACACACACACACACACACACACACACACACACACACACACACACTTCCTTTGTGGCTGCTCTCAGTAGCGTACTTACCCCTTTAGTAGGAGGGATATCGTACACTCCTTGAGGTTTTACCTCTCTCACTGGAGCTGAAAACACAGGGCCTTTCACAGATGAGGGAGGGATGTCGTATACCTGAAAAGAAACACTTCTGTTACCCGCCTTGGAAATGTCTGCATTTATTTACCAGGTTATGTACAGGCTTGATCTCTGGCAGCAAAATTCCATGCCATAAGGGATTGATGGAATTTGTTAAAAAATAAGCTTTGTGTTCTTTGACTTAGATTGAATACCTACCCTGTCTCCTCTTTACATTGTAACTTAAATTTTATGCTTTCTGAAATAAAAATGATAAACTGATAAAGCAACAAGAGCTCTCTCAGATAAAACACTAGGGCTTTCTGATAAGGCAAATCCAGGAAATATAATTTTAAAAAGTGGCTAAAGTGGCCCCTGGATTGATGACCTAAACAAAGCCTCCCATGAAATATTTATAATTTGTGAACGCCCTTTCCTCTAGAATTCAAGGCAGGCTGCACCAAGAGCTCCCTCCCCTGAGGACCCTGGCCCTGTACCTACCCCTTGAGTGGTGTGGGAAGGAGGGATATCGTAGACATCCTTTTGGTATCTGGATGGGTACTCGTACACATAGCCATGGCCTGTCCTCACAGGGGTGACCACCTGTGGGTGAAAACAGAGGTATAAAATAGCAAGCCTGAATCCTCTTGACTCTCCTGGCCTCCAAACTGGACATCTGTCTCTTATCTCTCTCCCTTAAGGAGGGGAGGAAGAAAGTGAAGGGAAGAAAAACAGAAAATAGAGAAAAGGAAGATGACAAGAAAACACTAATTCCTTTTGGATCCCAGTATGAAGCCAGTCCTTGAAATATCTGTTCTTCCTCATGGCCACAGAATCATCTCACAGTTCATCAGCTGCAGTGTCAGTTCCCAAACTACACTTGGTGTTTAAATTATCAAAGTCCCAGATGATCCTTTCTGGAGAGGCCAAAGGCATACTGAATTAAAAAAAAAAAAAAAAAAGGCTCTGCAACTCTGTAAAGTAAAAAAAGCCAACAGTTTGGCCACTTAAAATTCTTCTCATACCTTCTCTAGCAGGCCTCTTCATCTGACATCATTATGATGATTATAATTAAAATTCCACAGGTCACTAGAGTACTCCTACAAAGCTGGTACTCAACAGCGCTGACCTCAGAAGCTTCAGGGAGCTTTCAATTCAAGAAACAAATGAAATACAGCTGTCCCTCAATGTCTATGCAAGATGGGCTCCAGGTCCCTCTTCAGATACCAAAATCTTTGTGGACGACTGTTGCAGAGAACCAACATGCATCTCCTTACATGTGTCACTACTCACACTAATCCAATGGAACTGCTGTCATAGTTGTTATAGCCTATAGTTGTTTAGGGGACGATGACAGAAAAAAGCCCATCTATGGTCAGTACGTGGCAAGTGTTTTCCCACACATTTTGACGGGTGGTAGGTTGAATCCTGAGCTGCGAACCTGAGACACAGAGCTGACTGCATTGATTCAGGAAGCCACAGGAACACAGCTCCCGTCTCCTGACCTCTGCTGCCCATCATTTTTCCATTTGTACTGGGGAAGCAAACATCCCCTACAGTTCCTGCACCGGGGGATGTCAGAAGTCAAATGCACTCACTGCGGCTCTGGCATCTAAACTGATGCCAAAAAAAAATCAATCTCACCCTCTGGGCTCCTATTTTCCTGTCTACATACAGCACTGGTACCCTAAGCATGGGCAGAGTCATTATTTGAACTTAATTTATTTTGAAATGTATTTAATCTTCTCCTAGGGCATTTGAATTGCTAGGGTCTTGTTTTCACTTTCCTCCCACCCCCAGAGTCACCAACAGTGTCTACTTCATGAACTGCCCACAACGTCTTTGAGAACAGACATTGCAAATTAAGAAGAGTCAGTTGTTCCCTAAGAAACCCTCATCTTTTATCCTTTCTCTAATGTGAACACTCTGGCGTCAAGCTGCCTACAAAACTATGTGAGAAATGCACCGCTTCCATCCTGTGCCGAAATGGGTGGAACACAGCCAAATGCACCAATGCCCTTCTCCCGGGGCTCCAAGAGGCCTATTTAAGATCCCTGGTGTTCACAGCTGGTTATTTCTTGCAGTGAAGGTAAGAGAGATTAGTATGCACTCAGCATTTCCATCAAGTCTCTCCACAGCCTACTGCTTGAAGGTTTATTAGGTAGAGCAGTGCGCCTGATGCCCTCGTATAAGCTTTTCTTTTTCCTTTTGTTTTTCTTGCACTCACTATTGTCTAGAAGAGAAGTGAAGAAGGTCTCCTCGTCTATCTCATCAGCTCCTCTATTTAGAAATCTGTTTCAGCCTCATAATAGAACCTGCTCACAACGCAGCTTTTGTTCAGCCTAAACGTTTCTAAGAATGGATTCCTTCCAAGGTTGCCAACTTTGGAATGATGCTAATTGAGAGCCAGGCTGGCTGTGGTGAAGGCCAGCCTAACTATACACCCTTCATTTAAAAAGGGGAGGGAGCAGGAGATCGGGGTGCCGCGGGTGTCTGAAAGCTGCATCAGGTGAGGTGGAAACGTCAGATTTGAGCCTGCGGCCTGGACCTGACCCAGAGCTGCGCCTTGCCTCGTGGATGCTCAGTTTTTGTCCATGCGTTCGTGCTTCTCGGTACTTAACGTTTCACTTCCTGACAAATGTCACAGAACCCCAACTTGCTCTCTTTCTCATTTAGAGGCTGCCTGTGGTCATCTGGTTTTTAAAAACTTCACATTCCTAACCAGTCATTTTCCTTGTTTATACATTCAAAGAAACAGATGGCGAAAACCGCAGGGGGAAAAAGCCAGCAAAATACAACCTACCCTGACTCCAGCATTCCTGACCGACGGCACACTCTAACTCACACTGGTCCGCGAGTGGCATTCCAGCGCGACCAGTGTTTTCCATCTGGTTGGACTCGTCCGGGGCATTTAGTGATCTGCGCGGTGACATCCGCGAGACTGGGAAGCCAGACCACTTGGACACATTCAGCCGTGACCTCTTGGGTGATGGCCTTTGTGCCAACTGCGTGTTCTCTCCACAGAGCAAAGTGCTGACCGAGCTGTACCTTAGCCTCCAGTTCTGCGGTTCATTAGAGCCTCGTGTTCCTGATCCACAGAGCACACAGAAACTCTGCAGTCTCCTCACTCGGCCCCGAGAGCCACAGGGCCTCCCAGACGTTTGTACAGAGAGGCAGGGAAGGAATCGCCTCGAAAAGGGCATTTGTGAACCAATTTTCTGAATGAAATCAAGCCAGGATTTCCATTTCCTTTTCTTCCTCCATTTGTTTTTCTTTTCTGCATTCCTTTCATTCTCGTTTTGTATTTAGTTACCAGAGTTTAGCCTTAGGAATTACCAAATGGACCTCTTAATTCATTACTGTGGCCTGAAGAGGCTAAATGGTGAGGACCTGGGGGGGGGCCCTGTGACCCCCCCAACTGCTACTGGGACTTTGCACTTTCAGATGTGGCTTTTTGGACCCTGCCCCATGAGGAATCCTGCCTTACTCAGATGTTAGTAAAGCAGTCTTGTCAAGTAAGGAGAGAGTCCCAAGACACAGCAGAGAAAGGGGCAGACTGTTGCCAGGTGATGGCTCGAATCTATAATCCCAGCAGTCAGGGCTGAGGCAGGAGGATCCCTGGGAGGTAGAGGCCAGCCTGGTCTACATAGTGAGTTCAAGGCCAGCCTGAACTGTGTGAGAACTTGTTTAAAAAAAAAAAAAAATCCAATGAAAAAGGGTAGATTGTAAGCACCTGTGTTTGTTTTTGCTCTCGTGTTTTTAAAATTAATCCATATTAATTAATTAGTAAATTAATGGTGTTCTGTGTGATATTTCCATACATGCACAGAGCATATACTGAGCACTGAAGAAAGAACAGTTCACCGAACAAATCTCCAAGGCTGGGTGTGGCAGGATAGGATCAAGAAGACCAAAGGTTGAGGTTTCCTTAGTTCTCCGATGTGTTTACATAAAAACAAGAAAACAGCCTCAGTTTAACCCCAACCCAGCATGTAATCATGTTTGATTCAGCGCATTTGCAGCCTCAGATCTCGGCTCAGGAGCTGTCCACAAAGATGTCTAACACAGCCAGCCCTCTGTGCCTGCAGGTCCCGTGCCTGCCTATACCCAACCTCAGATGGAAAATACAAGGGGAAAGTGGTATCTGTACTGAACACAGATAGCTTTTCCTTGTCATTTCATTATTCCTCAGACAAGACAACATAGCAACTGTTTACATTGCAAGAGGTGTTAAGTCATCTACACATGATTTAAAGTTCAGGAAGACGTGTAGGTTCTATGTAAATACTGCACAATCTTATATAAGGGACTTGAGCATCCATGGGAGGGGCGCAACCTTGGGACGGTTCCTCTCACCATCGGGTGTGCAAGTGTAATGCACACCTGGCTTCTTCTCAGCCACATGCCAGAAACATATGGGAGAGTGTTCTGGACAAAAGCAGCGAAACAAACCCTGCTTTCTACCTTGTCTCCAGAAGGAAAATGCAATTTAAAGGAGCAGGGATCACACCTGCTTTAGTTCTGAGGACGTGTGACAACCTCCTATCATAAGAAGCTGCATATCAGAGGCCACAGGACCACTGGTCTTTGGCATCCTGGAAGAACTAGGTCTGGAGATGGGAGTGGTTGACAACACAACAAAAGCTGGCTTCAAGCAGGGCTGGATCCAATCCTGACTCTACCCCTTCACACCTGTGAGAACAAGATTGAGTACTTATTCATTCTAAGCCTCTTTTCTCATTAGTAAAACTGAAATGATAATACTTCCTCAGCTATTTGAGTGTAAAAGGAGGTCAGGTACATAAAATTCCTGGTATAGAGTCAACCTTTCAATCTCAGCTACAGTTACTGCAGTTGTCACCTGGGTCTTACAGAATTTACCCTTGAATTTTTTCTTCCAGAAACGATGGGCTGGGTAACTCACCCTGCTGAAGGTAGCTTAACAAATGAAGAGAAGAAATAGAAGTTTTTTTTTGGGGGGGGTAGATACTAAGGATTGAACCCAGGACCTTTCAATTGAGCTACATGCTCCAACCCTTATTTTGAGACAGGGACTTGGTATTTCACTAAGTTGATCAAGCTGAGCTCAAACATGCAATGCTTCTCCCTCAGGGTTCCTGTGTGCTGAGATTACAGCACCCTGCTTCAATGATCTTTTAAACAGCATCAGAGTTAAAGGATAGTAAAGAAGTACTAGGTCAACATTTGGAAGAGAAGTATTTCCTATAGGAATGTCAGCTGATCTGAAACAGGTGCCTGAAACATTATGTTGTGGGTTTCTTTTAATAGCTTCTTTGAGGGTAGTGGCGCCCTGGACTGTGCGAATCACCAAGGGAACAGCTGCATCCTAAGGTAAAGAGTCCACAGAAGTAAACCCATGCTTGCATAGGCTGTGGCCAGGCTTTAAGTTGTCAGGGTTGTGCACAGAATCTACAAGCATGAAATCAGATGTGTGTGCCTGTGACGCTGACGGGAGGAAACAAACTCCTCTCTGAAGACAAAGAATTATTATTTCTCTTATTATTTCTACACAATTGTAAAGGTAACAATGTCCAACATGTAATCAAAGATAATGAGGAATATAGGGGACAAGTCAAACAACA